GTATACGTATATAATTTTAGTGAGCCAATAAATCTAATTTTAACTAATTAGACCGTTTAAAAACAAGACTATTATTAAAAAATTTTTGATCGTTACAACAATATATCATTAATGTAAATTTTTCTTGTCTAAAGTGACACATCCATACGACGAAAAGAAACTATTTAAAAGTTAGAAGGGTTCGAATAGAAACGAAAAGACAAGGACCAAAATTTTAGTTAGTTTATTAAAATTTGTCTGAGCATACAACGTGGTTAAACACGAGTAATCAACGCTTCTAATTTGACAAGCACGAGTTCTAAGCCTGGCACTTGCAGTTCAAACAAATTATATACGGACTATAAACTAATTAAAAAGAACTTCAAAGATTTCCTAAGAACACTGATGATGAGTACTTGGCAATATTCGAAACAGAGTTGTATTGACCATACAACCAAATTTCAGTAAAATTAAATAAATTTTTGTGTTTGTCATTTCTTTCTTTGCTATTCGAAAACCCTCTTAATATTAAAAATAGCTTCTTTGTCATTATCAAGAAAGCATAGCTTTTTGTGCAACACTAATAAAAAGTTTAAAAATAAAGTTTTAATTTGATTCTACTATATTACGCTACAAACTGCTTTTATAACAACAAAAAGATAACATAATATCTTTTAAAAACTTTTTTTGGTCTGAAACGTTTACCCCTAAAATAAGTATAACTAATATCATCCCAATTTTAGTTTTGACAGGCTATACTAGGATAATGTACCCGGGCTATTACAATCCAAATTATTAAGTACTAGAATTGAACAGAATTGAAAGACTGTACACCTAAAAAGAGGTAAAAAAGGTATGGAACTAAGTGAAAATAGTTTAACAACCATTTCATGAAATATCACCTCTAGGTTGCAATTAAATTTTAAACAAATTTTCATTTATTTTGTATTAATTTATTAATTTTTATTCTGAGTAAACCGAATTTAAAAGTTAGAAGGGTTCGATTTAAAACATAGAATTTAAACATAGAAAATGTTAAAATAATTTTTTTGACTAATAATGTATTTTAAGTAAGTAAGTACTTTAGAAAACAACATGATGGGATTACCAATAAAACAAGTTGAATTAATTAAAAAATCATAAATTATTATAATTCTCATCAAACTAAATTTCTTCTCGTATGTAGAAGGTTCTGGGTTTTGTATCAATGCATAATTTACAAGACATCAGCTGTCTACAAATGGACATTATTTCTACCCCGATATACATAATTTGTATAAAAATTCAAAATTTTAAAATCATTTTATTTTTACGATTAAATAATTTATATAGTATTAATCCATGATTGCAAAAGTTGAAAGTACAGTTATATAACAACTAACTGTTTTTTTTAACTTCTAAATTTTTGAACTAATTTAATGTGAATTAAAAGATGAAAAATGAAATATGTTGAAAGACATTAAATATATATATATATATTATATATATATGAGCTTCATTAGTACGTCCTGATTTATTTTTCCAATTCTGCACTGACAGTAAAGAAACCTTTACTGAAATACTTGGTACTATAACAATAGCAGAAAACAGTGTATTAAAAACACTCTCTAAAAAAATTTGAGATTGGAACTATCAAAGCAACTTAAAACTCAAATTTTTGCCGGTGATATTTACTTCATTTTTTAATTATTCACATAATATAATATATACCGAGAAAGAAATACCAAAACAACGATCTTATATGATGAAACTAATAAAAAAGTATTTATCTTTTTAAGTATTATCCAAATGAATGCATCATGTGTTAATGCTTTACAAATGCTGAATCATATTAATGCGATATTGAATTGCTTCCTTACTACCATATGCTAAGGTATTCCATAGTTCATAGTTTTTTAAAACCATTGAGGATAACCATGCTCAAAAGAATCTGGAGAAAATAATTATAGATTCATGTGGTTGCCATTACTATATTTCTTGATTATCAACATATTTCTTGGTACATAACTTGAGGTCTCAAATACCATTATTATTTCAATGTCGAAAATATATAACTTATATATTATATAATAAGTTATATATATATAACTTGAGGTCTTAAATAACATTATTATTTCAATGTCCAAAATATAATTACCGACGTATTTAACAATTTTGTCTCTTGTAAAGTTTCCTCATTTTTTAATGCTGTTAACTGACACTTCTATCTTTTTCTTCATATTTTTTTGGTTGTTTTTTGTTCTCGTTTTGAATGTTTGCTTTAGTGTTTGCTGTTTGCTTTATTGTATGTATTGAGCTGAGCACTAGCTGCATGCTTGCATGGAGTGAGATTGCTAACTTTATAAATGATATAAATGTTAAATGGGAACATGAAAATTTTAACAAGTTATTGAATACACTTTGTAAATTAGGCATTTTTAAAATTAGTTTTAATTAATGGTGTTAAAGAATATTCGATAGTTAGCTTCACAACATCACAAGTCATGTTTTATGTAATTAAAAAAAAAGGTATATGTTGTTTGATTTCTCACCTTCCTTGTCAAAGTTCCTGTGTTCCCTAATATAGCTAAGTTTTATTGTTTTCTAATATTTAATTAAAGTATAAATTTCCTTTTTTATATACTTTAACTTTTCATTTGAGATCGTGTTCAATCATATCTTCATTTTTTAATTATTATTATTTTTTATAATTTCTTTTGTTATTAACTTCCACAGGTCTTTTCCAACAATTTTTTAACTTTTTTTTATCAACTTTAAAGGACATTTATTTGTTTAAATAGAAAATCACATCTCTTCAGGCATTTTTACGACATTTTGTTGATGGTTTCGTAGTTGTTGCATTTTCACGGAGTTCACTGATTAAATTGAAGTCCAAGACCCTTAGAAAAAAAACAAAGCCATCAATCCTCACATTGTTCAATGCGCAACTTTTCTTTCTCGTTGACTGGATCCAATGTTGGAATTCAACATTTTTGCATATTCGTCTAAAAAAAAACTGCATCATGTGAGAAGGTGCCACATTGCAATGTGGTAAGAAAAAAAATTGAATTTTCCTGATTTTTTTCGTGACAAGCTTAGAAGTTGCACGTTTTTCATGTCGCAATCAACGATTGTGTGTTTTTGTCAAAAAATTTCAACAAAAAATATATAAATAAAAATAAAATCTTTGGACTCAGTTTAGTTTTCCGCAGACAACTAATTTTATGGCAGATACTTAAATTTATAATGCCAATAAGCAGATAATCGCATAAACATTCCGTGGCAACAAAGTATGAATCGCTTGCCTTTGCACTGAAATTATAATTATTATTAAAACGTTTGTCGCATTTATCGCACAAATGTTCAAATTGTTTATTCAACACGCTCTACTGGCTGTTTTTCTATCTTTTAATTAAGTATTTTTGAGATACATTTCTTTATTTCGAATTTTTGGTCAAATTTGTTTTTCCTTTGTCAACAATTTTGAAGTGGCATAAGTGTGGCTCGAAGCCTCCAGTTATTAATCCGCTGACGTGCTTCCACTCATGGAATATGAAAAAAAACAAAACTTCGAAGATATAAAATAAACAAGATGCTTTATCGGGCACGCAGCAGGGGTGGATTTGTTGTTATGTGACTATGACTTCGAGCCTTTGTACTCATGTTTCGCTTGCGTGTTACACTGCATTGTTTATGCAACTTTTACAAACAATTTTTTTTCGTTTCATTTTTGTTTTCAAAGTATTCGTTACTTTTGGTGGCGTTAAAGGTAAAATTAACTAAGTCACTATGTCACATAACCTTGAAGTATCTGCATAAATACAAACTACTAATACATACAATTTGTTCCAGACATGCAAAAATGATTATAGCTCTGAGTTTGAAATATTTTGGTGACAATAGCTTCTGCTGTTCTTCGAAAGGCTACTAATTACTTTATAAACAAAAATATTTTGAACTTCGCAAGTTATCAAAACATTCAATAACCGTCAAATCATCATACACTATTCTGAGAATTAAAGCAGAATAGCTGTACTTATACTGAATATAGTGTATTTGGAATAGAAGTATTGAGATACCATAAATACTGACAATAGATACTGATAATAGAAAAATTGTATTTACTTATGTATTGAACATTTTTTTAGTCAAAAAAAGGTGCATATTTTCACAACCTTATAATATGTTTCTCGGAGAAAGACATAATAATAGTATGACTGCCTTCAAATTTAGACGAATATTTCTGTCACATAATGTGGAGAAAAACAGCACTCTGTAAAAATGCATTTAATAATTCAAAACTAACAGTTAAGTTAGCCAACAAATGTACTAGCAGATATTATAAAAATTTTCTTGATGCTTATATATAGGACAAGTCATTTCTAACGACACCTGATATAACGACCAACCAGACTTAACGACCATTTCTGAAAGTCAAATGGATTTTGCCATATTATTATTATTCCATACTCCATTAGGAACTTAAGGACTCAACAAAAGTATTCCAATAGTTTATATTTCGTGCTATTTGTCTTAATTCATTAAACGATTTGCCAGTTTTATGAAGTATTGTTTTTCTCCAGGTCATTTTAAGTCTGACCATGCATCGGATTCTTCAAGGTTTCAGATTAACGCTGTTGGGGTGTAGAATTTTTTGTTTTTGTGTTTGAAAACTATTCAGTGGACTTGATTTTAGTATTTTATGGAACATTATTTTTTTAATATATTAATATATTCTTCTTTGAACTATTTCTTGCTTTATGATCATTTAATATATGGATAATTTAATTAATTAATATTAATTTAGCACTAAAAACTGTTATTTTGTTATCTAAAAACTTGAAAAAAACCACCAAAAAGACCAAAACATACAGGAACAAGTACAGTGATGACAAGTATATATGTTTAGAAATCGGAATTCACAACATAACAAATGAAACGTTAGAACAAAACGAATTAGTAGAATTTGACAATATCTATGAAAATAAATCATCAGAACGATTTTCGACAAAGTGCGAAGAGATATACTAGTTTACTATCATATGAAACGAGTACAATACAACGAAGACATTGTGATAAGTACTGTAAGTGTACTGGATTTATTAATTTATTATTTAATGTATTCAATGACAGTGCCAAGATTTGGAAAATTCATCAATTATCATTTATTTAGAAGGATCTTAACAATGAGTTGTGCTATAATCTTCTGAAAGACCTTTTACCAGTATTCCTAGGAACTTTTAAAAATTGATATTTGAAACTTTAAAAAATTAAACAAAGAGTAATTAAATTGATGCCGGTATATGAGTTAGGTTGATCTGACTAGACGTTAGCATGCATATCCTATCCTATATTTGGTCTTAGCGATGTCAGGTGGAGATAAACCTCTATACAAATATGTATTTTTATAAACCTATATTAGCAACTCATTATGTATATTACACTCCTTGGAATAGAAATATTTAGGAGCAAGAGAAGTTTGGAAATGCAATGGATTTATTTCCGATCTTTATACAATTTCGAAAATTAAAATTTAAATAAAAATAATACAATTATTTTTATAATTAATTATATTAAAATATACTTACTAACAGCCAGGCAGCTATAATGGCACTCAAGTTTTTACCAGGTGACATCTAAACTGGTATTGTAGAGCATTGACAAGCGGAACATATTTGCCTGGAACAATCAGGTGCACTAAATATGGATCGACGGTCATGCTGAAATCCAATGTAATGATATGCAGAGAAAAAGGATAGAGAACTATATTGGGAAGGGTTACCAAGACTATCAAAAT